ATGCCGGCGCCGTAACCGCCGGTCTGGATGAGCGAACCGGAGGAGTCGAGCGAACCGGAGGAGCACCACGTGTCGGAGAGGAGGGAGAGGGGACGGTAAGTGTTGGAAACGACGTCGTAGAGGAGGGAGTGTGCGGAGCAGTCGTAAACGGCGTCGTCCGGACAAGATCCAGAAGGGAGGGAGAGATTCGATGGGCCAGTGTCCGTACGGTCAAAGATGACGACTTTGTTGTTGTGGAGGAGCTGCATGTGCATGGCGGATACACCTACGCTCCGCTGCAGCAGATCCCAACTCCCGCCGGCGAGAATCTCCGCCGGAGAACGTGGGAGGATCACGTCCGACGTGGATCCGGCAAAGAAGCTGGAAATGACGGCGTACACGAGGAATAATGAACACGACGGAATCTCCAGTCTTCTCTCTTCCATTTTCTTTATTCTCAGATTCATTTCCCGGCGAAGTTTCAGATAAAAATGGCGGAAAACGAGACTCTGATTGGATAAAATTCTTCTCCTTTCTTGGAAAAGAATGAGGAGAACATCAAAGATTCACTTTCTTGTGAAATTATCCAGATGGCTGATACAAGGGCTGAAACGTTTTTGTACTGAAAATGGTGTGTACATATATATACGTACATGAACAGCAAGTAGGGTCTGTACATTCTTTCTTCTTTAGGGCAGGGAAGCCGCCATTGATGAACCCCGGACAGCAACTCTAACAGCAGCAACGACACTGAGTTGCCTCGTCTCTGGTCTCAGCCCTTTGGCTTCAACCTTCTCGCAACTTATTTCCATCTGAACGCCCACGAAGTAAGCTGTCTGCGAACTCAAACAATAACCAAATCTTCTTACAAGTTTCGATGCAATACACAGCCAGCCATGGATGAAGATTACCTATAAATGAAATACTAAACTTCGCAAGTAGGAAGACAGAGCCAAGAAGGAGGATACCTTGCCGGAAGCATTACGGATTGGTGATATGTGGAGAAGATTCCAGAACGGACTCTCGTCTTTCCTGCGTTCAAATAGCTTAAATTATCCGGAAAAAACCAAATGTATTTAAAGACTGAGCAATCTGCAATCTGAAATCTGACCTGTAGTTTAGTATTTGCACCGTGCAAGATCGTTCATTCTGTATGCTCTCCTTAATCTGACCGAAACATCGAGCAATCATCAATATCACAATGCCACGAAAAAGCTACCGCCTCATCAAAAACCCACGAAAAAGATTACAACCTCGTATAGAACCAAGGAATCTGTATCAGCTCCACTCAGAAATCTACAGTTTCGCCCCAACACCTCATGTCTCATGTAACCTAAAAACATAAGAAAGACAGAAAGTAAAGATCAATATCCACCATTACTAATAATTGTCCATAAGATCATTTCCACACTCACCAGTCAATCTCAAGAAGGCATCGCTGGCGTAAACAATAGGCATGTCGGGCAAGCGTGAATCGGTCCTGTCAAGAGAAATTACCATAGACATAAGCAAGAAGCAGCACACTGAAAATCTTATACTGAAGCCAGAGTTAAAGGGTTTTATCCAGAAGAAAAAAACTCACAACACAAAGCTTTGTTTGACTCTACAAAGGGATATAATCAAGGAGGAGCTGAGGAAGCCAGTCCGAGGTGAACAGCATCGGTTTCCACAGACTAATCTACCAGTTAACTCACTGTAATGTGTTAAAACAGATAATACATTGTTAATGGCGGCTACAGCTCTTAGCTTCTCGCATTCGCTTGCTTCACAGTGTTCCCAATTCTCTAATTCTGCTGCACAGCAAAAAGACAGAAACACAAGTACTTTATAAGCAACCGAATCAGCTCAACAATCATAACGCAATGACCCAACTGACTGTCTACAGGCAAAAACCTCAGACGATGTTATTAGGCAAACATATAATACCAAATCAAGTACAATGATTGAGAACCCTTTTCAACGATTTCAATCAAAACGAAGTTGGCGAGTTTGAAAAGCTCTCTGAGGAATTTCATCGAACAAACGGTAGGGCACATTTGAAAACCGAACCTTTCTCGTCCCATTCCAGCTGCAGGGACCGACCAGAACGCACCAAAGAACCCGAGGAAACCTCCCTTCTACATGACCCAAACGCCGTTTCGCATCGATCCGACCAATCCTCGCCGAAACCCGACCGATGATGCCGCTGTCCAGAGATCGGAACTTGAACCGCCACGAAATGAATCACCTTTCCGTCGTCTTTCCCGAAAACAGGACTCATGTGGAACAATATCCAAAAGGGCGAGCCCGATTTCCGGTAATTCAGCAGACTCACTTGAACTGGTCTCTCTTCTCGAATCGCTTCTCGAATCTCCATGATCGATCTCCGATTGGTCATGGGTCCCTGAAATCCCCTCCCGTTCTTCCCGATGACTTCATCCCTCGAATATCCCGTCATTTTCAGGAATCCTCGGCTCGCGAAGACGATCGGGTGACCCGACAAGCACGGGTCAGTGATGGTGAAATTGTCGGGAAGCTCGTCTAGAGCTTCTGTGATCCATAACGAGTATCGAGCGTTGAACGATTCCTCGATTAAACCCACTTCTAAAGAACCCGCTACGGACATACTCGTGTCGATCTCTCGTATCTTCCCCTGAATCTCCAGTTCAGTGCCAATCCCATGTGGCTTCGGGCGAAATTCGAGAGCTTCGTCGAGTAATCAGAAACACGAACCCAGATGGCTGAATCAACAAGCCTTGAAGAGGGAATCACAAAATCCAGATATTTTCTCGAAGAATCGCAGCTCCGAGGCCCATAGATTCCGTATTTCTCCTGCTCTCTCTTCTCTGGTCGAAAGTGAGAGGAGAACGCCGACGCTGCAGAGCATTTATGAACGAAAAATAATCGAATTTGTTGGGAAACGAATGAACGATGGAGATCGAGTGAGATGTTAACGTCAATCTCTCTTCGCTCTGATTTTTTCTTGCGTTTCTGTGGCTATTCGGAGAGGAGTTTGGCTCTGTTAGTTTCTTAGTTTGGTTCTTCCAGTTTGTGGATAAACATGTTTTCTCCCAAGTGGATAAACATTTTCTCTCACGCGAATTTGTATTAATTTTAAAATTTTTAAAATTAGCTGTAATTTTTTTATTTGTTATTTATTTTTATTAGGGACATGATAATTTGGCATGACAGAGAAAAATATAACGTGTTAAACTATATCAATATCGAAATTATCAGAATTTAATATCGTTTATGAATATATAAAAATTTATAATATATTTTTATGTTTTGTATAAAATTTTCAAAAAATTTAGATTTTATATAATTTTTTATCGAATTAAAATTGATATAAAAATAATAACGTAAATTCGTGTGAAAATATGTTGATCATATTTCAATTTTGAACTTGTGTTTATAGGAAAAAAAAACTATTAAAGCACCTTTTTTATTTATTTGAACCAGCAATCAATTTTAATTTATGGAAACTAAGACTGAAATTCTAGATATTTTAAAACAGATATTTAAGTTAAAGTGAACAGTTATTCCGATTAGATTAAATATTTTTTTTTTTAAAAAAAAAGATAAAACGTGATGTATATGTCTAACCGATATACAATAAAATGTGATCTATGTTAGAGGTGGGCGTTTTGGAAAACGGTTCGGATTTGGGATGGAAATAGATCGGTTCGGTTTTTTTGGTTTTATAAAAATAGGTACTAATCGGTTTTTATATTGTGTTCGGTTCGGTTCGCTTCGATATGAGTTCGGTTCGGTTCTGGGTTTTATTAAAAAAAAGATAGATTTTAAAAAAAAATATTCGGTTTTTCGGAATTTTTTTAAAGTTCGGTTCGGTTCGATTCGATTTCGGAAAAATTCAGTTCTCTAAAAATAATACCGTTCGGGAATTGAAAACGGTTTCGGATCGAAAAAATATCGTTTTTTCGGTTCGATTTGGTCTGATTCTGAAGAACCGAATCAAAACGCTCACCGCTAATGTTAGGGGTGGACGTTTCGGAAAACGATTCGGGTTCGAGACGGAATGAATCGGTTCGGTTCTTTCGGTTTTACAAAAATAGGTACCAATCGGATTTTTTATTGTATTCGGTTCGGTTCGGTTCGGTTTCGATATCGGTTCGGTTCAGTTTCGGATTTTATTAAAAAAATGATAGATTTCCTTTAAAAATATTCGGTTTTTCGGGATTTTTAAAGTTTGGTTCGATTCGATTCCGGAAAAATTCGGTTCTCTAAAAATAGTACTGTTCGAGAAATAACAGCGGTTTGGGATCGAAAAAAATACCGTTTTAACGGTTCGGTTCGATTTGGTTCTGAAGAACCGAACCGAAACGCCCAGCCCTAATGTATGTGCAGTCACTTTATAGATAAAATTTTCTCAAATCGTCGTGTGGAATTTCTTTTTCCGTTTTTTACAAGTTTTGTACTTTCACCAAATTGGCGTCAATTGTAATTTTTTCTATTTATGGAAATAATCTCTCGATAGGAATTTAAACCACAGACAAAATAATTATCTTAGGGGCCCGCCAGAGCAGATTCCACGTAAGAAAGCAGGAAAACGACAAAAATAGCTGACTGTAAATGCTTATCAAATTCAGTCGCGAGGTTTTTCCGGTCGAAAAATATTTAAGAATTAAATAACATACCGCATTCGCTTACGTGGACACACGCCTCCTGTAAATGCGACACGTGTCCAATGGGCCGAGAGATCACGTGCCGCATGCAACCAGTTGTACTAGGGGTGATCATTTCGCGGTTCTCCGTATTCGGATTCCGTTATTATGAGTATAACTATCAGTTTTTTTTTTAAATATAAATTTAGGTTCAATTTAGTTCAAATTAAATTTTTTTTTATCATAAACAACACATTTTTTTGATTTTTTCGAATTTAAAAAAATTATAATCGTTAAATTTTCATATTAAATTTAATTTAATTACGGTTATATCTTATGCGATTCATAACAACCAAAATGATCCCCTAGTTAATAGTTAGAATAATAATGGAAGTATAAAAAAAATTACTGATTGAATCCCACAATTATAAAAAAAAATTACTGATTGAATCCCACAAAAGAAGGGGAAAACAAAGAAAGGATGAACTATAATTGGTTCACAGAAAAAAAAATAGTTACCAAAAAAGAATTTTTGAGAATTACCCTCCATTGATATCTCCCTAAAATTCTCACCACAAGTTTTGTTTTTCGGGTTTATTTTTAAGCAGCCATGAATGGGATCATCCGCTTGTAACCCCGAGCCGAAGCATCTTCCACGTTAAAAAGCTCGAGGGTTTGCCCTAAAATTCGCCGGCTCGTCTGGACTCCGACACAATAAAAAAAAAACGTTTTCTTTTCGTTTCGATCGTAATCGATCGGAGTCCAGGCCTTGGCTTCGAATGGCGTCGCCGGATTTTCTAAAACTCGCCGGAAACTTTGTCCTCTGCTTCTTATTCTCCTCCATCTCAGACGTGGCTCAGCCGGTTAAAGCCCACGTGGCAGTCTTCGACGAATACTGGACGCAGCGTCAAGCCCATGCCTTGCGTCAGACGTTACGATTCTACGACCCGAACCCCTTCAACGTCACCGACCACTTCAACCACCATGTCAACTTGTCCGTGTTCTTGCATGTTTTCTTTTTTTTTTTTTTGTTCTTTCATTTGAATTTCCTACAACCTGAAACGACAATGTGGAGATCGAAGACAATGGTCAATGGGTTTTCTTAGGGTTTGGCCTTAACCTAACTTGTTCCGTAAGTAATCGCTCACTCTTCTGTTACCCTTTTTTTAGGGCGGTGGAGGAGGCGACAGAAGCAAGCAACGGTACGAGGAGGGAACTATGGCAGGTGGGCAGCGGCGGAAAACACCTAAAGCGACGCAACACGGGAAAGTGCGTAGCATATAACCCGATCGACAGATGCTGGCGCTGCCAACCGAACTGGGCAAAGGACCGGAAAAAGTTGGCGGACTGTGTGCTCGGATTCGGCCGTAGAACCACCGGAGGAAAAGCCGGCCGTTACTACGTCGTCACCGATGCGTCGGACACCGATCTCATCAACCCGAGACCCGGAACCCTAAGGCACGCGGTCACACGAGACGAGCCGCTCTGGATCGTGTTTGAACGGAGCATGGTCATCAGACTGGCGCAAGAGCTGATCATAACGAGCAACAAGACGATAGACGGACGTGGCGTTAGGGTTCATATCACGGGCGGTGCAGGGCTAACGGTGCAGTTCGTGAACAACGTGATTATCCACAATATCTATATCAAGGACATCGTGCCGGGGAATGGTGGGTTGATCAGAGATTCCGAGACACATTTCGGGCTCCGGACAAGGAGTGACGGCGATGGGATCAATATATTCGGAGCTACGAATGTTTGGATCGATCATGTCTCGATGGCTCACTGCAGCGACGGGATGATCGACGCGATTCAAGGATCAACCGGAATCACCATTTCCAATTGCCATCTGACCGACCATGGAGAGGTAAACTAAAAAAGAAATCACCTTTATATACCCAGATATAATTTCATTACAGATATAACCATTGATATGGGAACAGGTGATGCTGTTTGGGGCGACGGACAAGGACGAGATCGACACGAAGATGCAGATAACAGTTGCGTTCAACCACTTTGGTAAGAGATTGGTGCAGAGAATG